TACTCATATATATGAGTACTCTAACATAATCCTTTTAAATAAAATGAAGGGCCGATAATATCGATTACATGACCAAAATGAAGTAAACTTATTGCAATAATATAGGCCTCGCTAATATTAACTCAATAATAAATTTATACTATGATAAAGATAGCATAATGAAAATTAAATTATGAAAAAACTTTACTAAAAGACAATATTTTTAATAAATAATATGTCATTTACCTAAAACGTATTTCAAAATACTTAGAGATTCTTATTCATATCTTGTAAATTTGAATTTTAAAAATAAATTTACAAATTACTTAGCCAGATTTTAACATGCTAAATAAAAGTTTGCTTTTTTAATGAATGTAGTTTCTATTGGACCTAGGATTTATGAAACAAAGGAAAGCCTCACTTCGAATCTTCATTCGGGACACACTTATTTTTGGGGTAAAATGAATGGTCTAGATAATATGTCATAATATACACTATTTTTAGGATTTGAAATCTTTTTTTTTGTTTTTACAATTATAATGGTTGGTTAAGATATGGATATCTCGGGTTCATATTGATATACATCACTATGGATGTATGGGTATATATCTCTTGATAATGTTAGGTATCTACAAGATAGAGACCCAGTTACTTGGTCATCAAGTTATCATACCATATTTATCTCATGTAATTGTGTGATTGTCCTCTATATATAGATTACCTTATTGATATAAATATTTATCCAAAATAGCGCTGATGAAGCCTCTTGGGTTTTGAATCCCTGGACTAGAACCAGGTAAATATTGTGTTCTCTCCATTTCCATTCAATGATGGGCTTTGGATCTGTGATTGAGGCTTTGGGGCTTCGGCCTGAACCAAGATCCGTGGACTAAGGCTTCGGCCTTAACCAGTTCTCTCTATTTTCCATTCAATAATGTATGCTTCCACGAATTCTAACATGGTATCAGAGCACTGACATGTTTGCTCTTTGAGCACTAGTAGGGCAACCGTGCCTCTTTCATGTTTGGCCAAAGACGATAGTGCTGCCGATAACAGCGGCGACAGCAATGAACACAACCTTTGCTTTGCAAGAGAGGCATCCGCTCAATGCAAAATCAGTTTCCAGAGTCAATACTTTGCTTTGCAAGAAATGTCCACTCAGTAGTTTGCAACAAAGAATGGAAAGAAGTACCGAAGAATGGAAAATCAATCTTCACGATGTGCAAAATCAGTTTGCAATGAAAAATCAATCTTTACAAATCCTGAAAAACGTCCCTCTTCTTGTCCCCCTCTTTGGCCATTGTTACATTTCCTGAAACCCCTGCCTAGCAAGAAAACCCTCTTCTTGTTCTTTCTCGTCTTTCTTTTTAAGAAGCCAGCCTCAATGACTGATAACGGCTATCAAGAATCACATGAGTCTCCTTCCTCAGTCACGGAACTATCAGATTTGATGCCTATGGAAGGAATTCTGCTTCTCCTGTTGGTTCTAGGGATAGATCAACTCCCATGGAGCACGATGCCCTTCCAAACTCTAAAACTAGAGAAGGCCTTCTCTCCCTTCCTCTGTACCATTCCCACTCTTGGGCCCCAAACATAGAGAGAGAGAGAACTTCATCAAGCACCAAACATCCCTTATCTCACCCCAAAAATCTCATATATGAACCACACCCATCCCTCTATTGGGCCTCAATCTTAGGGAGAGAAACTTCATAAAAACCCCAAAAAGGCCTCATTTAGTATTCATACGCTCGGAACCCACGAATCATCAGTCCTTTCTCGCACTAAATCCAAGACCACCAGAGCCTTTTGCCTTCGACGAGTTTGGCTTCACTCAGTCCTTTCTCACATCAGCTGAGATCCGCGCCGACTCTCGATCCATAATTCCCTTCGAAGAATTTCGACTCTCTGATTTCAGTGGAGTAGGCCCCGCCGAGCCTTTCCTTCCTCTGAGGCCGCTCCTCAACAGATCCTTCTTCCACCATCATTGATTTATTTCGATTGATTCCAAAAAAAAAAAGAAAAAAAGAAGGCATTTTGTTTGAATGATCGAATTTCTCGATCGTGGTTGATAATCAAATTTTCCGTTACTTGACCCCATTTGATGATAGAGTTTTCCGTTGCTCCATCCTGTGTGAAGATGTAGCATGTTGGGCTTTAGATCCATGGACGTAAGGTTTCAGTCGGAACCACATAAATGATGTGTTCTTTCAATATCTGTGAAAGTATGCTCCTACGAATTCTAACATGGTCATGGCCAAGATGATCAACGAATTCTAACATGGTCAAGGCCAATATCACGAATTCTAACATTGTCAAGGCCAAGATGATCAACGAATTCTAACATAGTCAAGGCCAAGATGATCAATTTGAAAGTCTTATGACGCCTGAATTACAATTTTTGGTGAGGCTTTACTTATTTTATGTGGCTGCAGCCCTATCAAAACATTTTTTCTTTTTAAATGGGAATGTATACCCATTTGTAAACTATAAAAAAAGTAAACATTTGTGATTCTAATAATAATAATAATATCAAGACAATGACAATTGTGATTCTATGAATTATAAAAAAGACTAATGTTTCAATATATTGAATTTCTGATAAAATTCTAATAACAATAATATCATGATAATGACAATTGTGATTAAGGTAACTAATGCTATTGTTAGGTTTGAATTATTTCCTTGAATGAATAGAGTCTACCGACCCATTAACAAAGAGCCGAGTATGCTAACATAAGTAGCGCAATAAGACTAAGGCCAACACTCATCGTTCTAGAGAGAGCATATTCGATGAGAGAGAGAGCAAAGAGAGAGAATGTCATATTTGATGAGAGAGAGAGCAAAAAGAGAGAGAATATGTCATATTTGATGAGAGAGAAAGCAACGTGAGAGAGAATGTGTCACTTAAAATACCGATAAAGGACCCAGCAAGAAAGAATATTGGCCTACCTGGCCTTGCCGTCATGTTCACTGCTACTGACGTATGATACATCGCTGGCCATCCTTATATTTGATGAGAGAGAGCAAAGAGAGAGAGAGCAAACAAGTTATATTTGATGAGAGAGAAAGTGAGTAAATTAACTACATATTTAATAGTGGGGCCATTGAGAAAAGGTCGCATAAAATGGTCCCATAAACCTGGTCAAGTGAACTAAGTTCAACGAGAGAAGAATATTCATCCAAGGGTGAGGTTTGTATAAGGAGACAACTTTATACTATTGAAGTATGGTACACCTCAAATCTATGTCGAAAGTGCAGTTTCAGTGCCACAAAGCCTTGCAATGATATGAGAATATATTGTTGTCCCTAATTATGAAATTTAAAGTTTCACAAATGGTGACGGTCAAACAGATCTATAAACACTTAAAAATCCTGAAAAAAGACGGTCCAAATATCGTGTCAAAACTATTTTTAAAATTAAAAATCCTCTTTTTCCTTATATATAAATCTCAAAGTACGGGATGATCCATTTGAGGGTTTTTAAGTGTAAAAACAACCTTCCATTTGAGGTTTTTAAGCATACTTTTCTAGAGGGTTTTTTAAGTGCCGTACTCATATAGTATAAGGTTGACACCTTATATACACTTATTCCTTCATCAAATCACAAAGCCAACATTGTTAAAAGGACATATCAATCTCATCATTCATCCCTGTGCAAATGGTTGTTAGAACTTCGAAAAGGCTTACTTTATGAGTCTAACAATCTGGACCGTCCAGATTCCCCCCACAGTCTGAAATGACGGTCCAGATGAGGCGGCCTATTTTAAACCCAACAGGCTTGGTACCTCGTAAAGGCTTACTTTATGGGTCGAACAGTCTGGACCGTCCAAATTCGCCCCCACAGTTTGAAATGACGGTCCAGATGAGCCGGTCCCTTTTAAAACCAACAGGCGCGAACCATGGGATTTTCCTTTTGGCAAAACTATCCAAAAGATAAGTCGAGGCATTTCAAGAAAGAGAAAGCATACCGTACACAACTCGTGTACCAATCAGAATCGACCAACTGAAATTCGCCAATTCAAATGCAGAACCCGTTTAGAGGTCACATAGGCTTGAGGATCTTCAAAATCACCGATTTGGATTTTGATTTTTTTTTTGAGAAACTTTTTATGCTTTCTCTACAACATAGACGTTATATATTTCCCTTTACCTAATTATCCATTTTGAATGGAGAGGTTAGATTGTCGCAATCATAATTTCAAATCTCTACACTATTTTATTTTTAATTTTTTATATGAACTATTTTGACATCAAATTTTGGACCTTCAATCCTCAGTACTAACGAAAAATATAAAAACAATATTTTCAATAAAATAAAATGACCAAAATACTCTTAAAATTTTCAATATGTATTTTGGTTATTATATTTTATTGAAAAAATATTGCACCCCAATGAAAATCTGGGCACTTTCTAAATTTTATATTTATACAATTTGTATAAAAAAACTAAAAATAAATTACTTTGAAACATCGGATCTAAAATCAAACAATAATTGGTTCTTTTGATCACAATTGAATGGCTGGATAGTGAAGGAAGCATAGAAGAATGATTAGATGGTAGGGGAAACATATTCTATGTTATAGGGGAAATGTAGAAATATTTCCCTTGTATTAATCACTTGACCCCGAATTGGAACCCAATTCAGATCAAGTGGATCAGAATCGATGTGCGAGCAATCCTAGTATGATTCTAGTAGCACTTGAATTCACATTCATTCAATTTTATCTGATCACTATTATCAGTCGTTGGATCGTATTTCATCCGGTCGAAAAAGACAAGAACCACAAAACACTTCTGTGACAATCAAATTGTTTTCCACACACAAGTCGTGTACAATACATACTCCCTAAGGACTAAGGTCTAGAATAGTCACAAAAGATAAATGTTGGAGAACTCTTTGGTAATTTCAAACTGGTAGGGCTTCTACGTAATTTCTCTATTTCCCAAGGGTTAACTTCATCATAAATAAAAATATCTGAGTTCTGTTGACTTAATCTTCTGACACAAGCAATCAGACACCAACTCTCTTTACTCCATAACCAAATGAATTTCCGAGTCTAAGTCTCAGTTCGAATTTTCTCTCTCTAAAATAATCCCATTACGCGGCCAATTACGCCATCACTGTTGACTGGAGTCCGCCACTTTTGGCCGGAAATGAGCCGTCCGGTAACGCCTTCCGGCCGAAGTGTGAAATCCAGCGGCCGGACCACCCCTATTCATAGCCGTGAGTCCTCGTTGAATCCCGGCTATGCACCGTCCCCCATTTGCCGGAATTCGGATTCCAGTGGGCGGAATCCGATGAAAATTGTGGCCGGGATTTTTTCCGGTGCTGTGAGCTCATGTTTTTCCGGGAGCACGAGCAGTAAATCGTCCTCAGTTGATGAGAGTTTTGATGATCTTAAAGCGCCTTCTGGTAAGTTTTTGATTCAATATTTTCTTCATTTTACTCAAAAATGAAAGGAATGCTCTTTGTTTTGATGGGATGAGAGGTCAAATGTTGAGGCCTTGTGATGGAGAGAGAGAGGTTTGTATCACTGAAAGGAGAGGAATTGTGGTGATACACTGAATTCTTTTGAGTTTTTCTATAATTTATTTATATAATTGCTGGTGCATTGGTGTTTTAATTGCGGTTTAATTTATTCCCGTAATGCTCTGTGGCATCAGAATGTTTTGCTTGAAGTCTTTTTCTTTACAATTAGGAAATTATTGATTGATTTTCCTTGATCGATGTCATATTCTTTATTAATGCCTTTCAGAGAAATTATTTCTGTTTGATTTGCAATCCAAATATGATGGATTTGAACCAAATTTTGATTGAAATCTGCCCAAAAGCATGGAGATTTCTTCCTATTCTTTTATACTTTGAAGAAAAATCGAGAAAATGGGTAAAAAAGGCAGATCCAAGTTTGGTACTTTTTCAGATATTTCAGCTGCTATAGCAACACCAGTTTTGGTCCATTTAACCCGAACTTAGGCTCGCCATTAAACTGCAATTCCAATTCTTGTCATTTTGGTCACTACTCACCTTCCTTTGGCCAGATGTGGCCGCTATCTCTTATTTCTTCATTTCATTTGAATGGTAATCTCCGCTTAACTTGTTTTATATTTTGGTTATGTCATTTTCCTTCATAGTTTCATCAAGGACTTCAGGTGTTAGTGAAAGATCACGATCAAGAAAGGCAATATACTCTAATTCATATAATTCTACTGAGACACAACCTGGAAGCATGAAATTTAGCATCGATGAGATATACAAAGCCACTAGAAACTTCTCGCCGTCTTTCAAGATAGGACAGGGTGGGTTCGGGACTGTTTACAAAGGAAGGATCCATGATGGAACTGTTGTTGCCATTAAGCGTGCAAAGAAGGTGAAGTGCACATTTCACTTGAAATTTCATTATTTTTCAATGAGAATTACCACCTTTGAACTGTACTCATGGAAATTTTGGAATTTGTGCTTGATTACACAGTCCTTTGTAGAGAAATTATAGAGAAATATAGTGCTAGTTTTTTCTTAGAGCATGGGTGTTGGTTGTGACTTGAACTCTGTAAATCTGAACTGGAGTTGGGTGTGGTTCTGTTTAAGAAACAAAGTGGAAAAATATAATGCGGGTTGTTTTAACTGTGTCAATTTGGGTGGTTTAATTGAGTTTTAGAGGGGAAATGGAGAAAATTATAATGGGTTCTTTGCTTTTTTTCAGAATATGCATGATAAGCATTTAACTGTAGAGTTTCAGAGTGAGATCCGGACTCTTGCCTGTGTTGAGCACTTGAATCTGGTTAAGTTTCTAGGATATTTGGAGCATGGAGATGAAAGGATTGTGGTTGTGGAGTACGTCCCCAATGGAACACTTCGAGAGCATTTGGATGGTAAGCACTTAATGAAACATCTCCATTCTAGTTGCGGTGTGTATTTGTGTTTTTCGTTAGCTTGGCTTTAGTTTTCTTTTATCTTCTTTTTGCGATAGAGATAACTAATTCCTGACTTCCCTATTTTTTTTGTCATGACCACTATTCCTATTGAAGCCAACCAGTTTGGGCCGGGCTGACAGTTGATTGCGTTATTTTAATCCAACTCTAGACATAATCAGGTAGGAAAATATCATTAAAGGTTTGAAACCTCTTACAAAATCATTATGGGGCCAAATGATCTCAATTAACATGTGAAAGGTTAATTTTTTTATTTTCATTTCACATAAGTACCTCCTTAAAAAATAAAAATAAAATTTTTCAAATTGCCTTTGTTCAGGATTGGGAAGCCCGAACGATTAGAGGCCTTTCAAGAATTTGACTCCTAAGAGCCCTGAACCTAATGATGAAAATACTTATGCTTGTTCAAAGTTAGAATAGGAAACACATTATATAGTGTCAGTAATGAGGAACAATTAGGAGTATTTTTGTCATATGGCAGTCAAATTCTTGCATGTACCAAATGACATAAATAGCACTAATTATTCTTCATTAAGAATCTTGAACAATGTGTTCCTTATTTGTAATCATGAACAAGCACGGGTATTTTTGTCATTCAGCTAGAGCAACTTTGGGATCAAATTATTGAAATGCCCCTAATATTTCATCCTTCCCAACCCTAACCAAAGCCATTTAGGAAACTTTTTAACATTTTTTAGAAGGTACCGAGGTGAAATGAAAATAAAAAAGCAACTTCTAAAATGTTTATTAGGATAATTGGACCTCTTAAATGATTTTGTACAGTGTTTCAAACCCATAAATGATATTTTCCCTAATCAGTTTTAATTCGACTGAAAATTCAGGTGTACTGAAATTGGATGCTATGTTCATGAAGTATTATGTCTGCATTGCAAAGATAAAAACTTCCCAAATTTGGACACTCCCAGGTCGCGACTGAGATTGCAAACTTTAGATTCTCATCTGGCTGAAACAGTTCTGAAATCTAAAAATTGTGAACCTTGAGGGATTGTGGTGGTTGTAATGGTAGATATTATTGTTCTTATCCTTGTTGTCTCTGGAGATTCTAGGCACACAGGAAATTTATGGGTGGAAAACAGAAAGATACAAATATCATACCATTTGGCTCTGTGTCTCGTATAAAGGCATTTATATCATTCTCTCCTCTCAAATCTAACCCTTTTTTTTTCTATAGATTTATGGATTATTTAAAGAAAATTTCCTTTTCTTTCTTTTGATTAATTTGTCGCTTGTGATGTTAAATTGTGCTAAGTCCTCTTCATCAAAGGAAAAGAGAGAGAAAACAATGGCTTTACTGGTGTTATGTTGCAGGTGTCAATGGTGATACGTTAGATCTTGCTGCTCGGTTGGATATTGCCATTGATGTGGCTCATGCAGTCACATATCTTCATATGTATACTGGTGTGTGTTCAAAAACTTGGATACTTATCCCCATCTTTAATATTTCTTTTTTCTTTTCTTTGCACCAATATCTATAGCGAGGATTAAATCTTGATTCCATGTCAATTGGAGTAGAAATCTTCCTTCGAATGCCTTCTGGTGGTTGCAGGGTTTCATTATTTTACTTGTGCCACCCGGGATGGCCTTTACTTTAAATTTAAAATATAATTGGTAAATACAACACATACAATTAAAAGTAAAACCATGGCATAGACATAATCCTATTTTGTCTTTATAATAATGAAGTGAAATCACTATTTAGGAATATTTGTCTTTTGTATATAATGACCATAAGTTCAATAGTCAACACAATCACTTTAAAATTCGGGAAACCTTCTAATAAATGATATCCAATATAGGTTCTAAAGTTGATGAGGCTCAAGATGTGCTTGTGGCTTCTTCTCCGTAAAAATGAAATCTTGATTCCCGGTAGGGATCGTCAAACGCATTCCATAGTCCATATTATTGTAAATCTCGATCTCAAACTGGTATGGATCTTTGATTTATATACTTTAAAAACTTGATTGCAAATATGTTAGAATCACGATTCGAAACAACAACATATCTATGTTCCACATATGTCAGAAACTTGATTCCATAGATGTCGGAAACTCGATTCCGCATAGTAAAACATCTTGAATCCTGGAGTGTCGATTCCAAGGGGATGATAATCTCGATTCCAAGGAGGACGGAATCTCGATTCCATAGGTGGATGAAACTTGGATTTATTTTGGTCGAAACACGATTCTCAAAAACTAGGAATCTCATTCTTGCAATTCCTATAGTACGGACAACGATTCCTAAGACAGGAATCTTCTAGCTCGCCGCGATTTCTCGATTCTGGTTCTTAAAATGATTCGGGTTCCCAAGCGTTTCCAACAACTATGATACCTACAACAATTTTACATCAAAGTTTGCAATGAATGAGTCTATTCTCGAAGTTTGAGCAAAGAGTTAATTGAAATATTTTAGGGCTGGTTGAATTCCATTTCCTGTGCCAAGTTGCCTTGGTAGAAAATAATAATCAACAAGGAATTTCTCCAAACTCCTTCTGACAAATACCAGTCTCGCATGTAATCAGTGTGTACGTATTTTCAAAAACCATAAATGCATTAAATGAGAAAAGTTCCCTTTGTCTATTGAGTGTATTTGGGTTCTGTGGTATTCAGATAAAAATGTTTAGTAGGTTCTGAGTATGATTTAACTAAAATATGAGGCAGTTGTTAGTTCTAACTTTTTTCTTATTTGATAGGATGGTGCTATTAGTGAACATAATGGTTTAAGCGGTCGCCGCCTTATTTCTGCTAACCCCATTAAGAAATAACAATCAAAAGTGTCTGTCACTGAGTCCTTGTCTATGTCATTTAAGAGACATCCTGTTAACTCTTACTAAATATCGGGAGCAATATAGCTGGTAGTAACATGCCTAGAGCATTTGCTGATGAGCTTGCTTCTATTCCCCAAGTATTGTCCTGTGGCAAAGAAGTCCTCGACCCTCTGTTAAGTGAACCTGCAAAAATAATATATCTCATTGGTTCCTTAACCTATACTCATTTAGTGTACTAGAATTTGCACCTTGTCGATCGGAAGGATGGAATATCAAATGGCAAGCCCACGATATGCTTGTAGCTGATTCTTATACTCGTAAAGGAAGGCATTGTCGATATAATGTTTGGAAGGTTACATCATATCCCAACAATAGTGCATACATGCAAGTGTTCTTCAGCACTTATAAAAGGAAAACTATCATTGAAATGATGAAATCACCTAAATAAATTTTACTAAGGTGGTCAAATCAAGCAATATATCTACAAAGTGGTTAGTTGAAAGAAAATCATTTCACCCAAATACCTCCTCTGCTATTTTGTTTAAGAAAAGCCCAAAATGCCTGTATTCTAGATTTGGAATCCTAAAAAAGCAGCAGATTTTGGTAGTTTGACCTAAAACACATGTGGGGCCTAATTACCCCCACTTATTGCATATTCCAAACCCTAAGTAGAGGTTTTAATGAAAAAACACATGATCCAAGTTTGGAACCACAAGCAGGGTAAGTTTCGTTCCTTGGTTTCGGCCACCGAATTGTGCTAAAAGTTGTAAATACCCCTACTTATTCTGTGTTCTAAGGCGGAAACAGGAGATTTTAGTGCAAAAATCTATTATGGATTTGGAACTCAGAACAAGAAGGTATTTACATCATTTAGCTCGGGCACTTAAATCTGAGCAAATTACCAAAACCCTAGACCAATTGGCATTTTTGACAAAGAGTTGAGGAGGTACTGGAATAATATGATCTTATTAAGGTAACCACTTTGTTGATAAATTGGTTGATTTGACCACACCATTTTCATGATATTTTCCCTTAATAATTATAATTTTTATAAGGTGAAATGTTTGCCATCATTTTTTATGTGAAAAACACTTATATATGCTAATTACTAGTTGTTGTACAAGAAGTGAATGTGTTGGGACTATGATGCAAGTTCAGTCAGCAAGCATCAACTACTTCTGCTATGAATAATAATGGAAAAGGATTCTTTTCCTGGCTGAGAGGGGAGGTGTATAAGGTGAGCTGTTGATAATAAGCCTGTATCAGTTTCATGGTTATCTTCTCATTTCCTTGAAGTTATAATGCATTAAAATCAAATAAAATTTACCCCAATAAGAGGCCTCTAAACCAAAGAACTTGCTAATTCAATGAACTGAGTAGTTCATGAAATCAATATGTCTGGAATTTCACATTTTTCCATAATAGATTCAAACTTTGTGTGTATGTGTGCATGTGTGTGGCATGTCTAAGGCTGTCTAAAGGACATTATCATATTAGTGGTATCATCTTAGGTATTCTACAAAAGCATCTACAAGGTGTGGTCATTTGGCTATTATAAAGTAAGTTGATTTTACATACTTTTTATGCATCAGAGCTAGGAAATTTGAATTGCACCAACATTCTTGTTAACTGAATGCGATCCCAATTTAGATAATTTTAGCAAATAAAAAATTGAATGCATCCTAATGCACTCCCCAACTTCAATGCCTGCTTAATTTTGGTCTGGTGGCTTGGTTATCCATTAGCAGGCTGGAAAGTGTTTTGACTGCCTCTCTCTCTATTCTCTCTGTCCAACAACCTCTCTCTCTCTTTCTCTATTTATTAAATTGTTTATCTTATGAAATATTGAATAATGATAACACTTGCATGGCTTTTCTCTTTGAGAAAGTATGTTCTGAGAGGGCTATTTTTTATTTTTTTAATGAATGATCTTGGGACCTGGTGAGAATGGAACTCTAGACATCACATTGTGGCACCTGCCACGCGAGCCACCTCTACCTAGAGCCTGTTCTCAAGTACGTGCTAGGAGATTATCAACCTGAATGGTTTCCTAATGTCATTCCAACTCTTAGGACTGGTGTTTCAGATTTGCTTTGAGATTTCCTGACATAGTTTAGAGAATATTCTGGATATCAACAACCTAAGTGTTTAAATTACCGGGCTTATATGTTCAACTAATTTGCATTCATGATGATCAAAATTGGTGCATATCTAGAGCTTATAATTCTGAAATATGTTGACTCAGATTTTTTATTCCCCCCCCCCCCCTTACCTCTTACATAGGAAACATTTCTTACAGCATTTGAAAATTGTCATCTATATGAGCATGTTACTTACAATGCTACCATGGGCTGGTGCCTATGCAGATCGTCCTATCATCCACAGAGACATTAAATCTTCAAACATTCTCCTCACTGAAAATTTTCGAGCAAAAGTTGCTGACTTTGGATTTGCTCGCTTAGCTTCAAATGATGATGGTGCTACCCATGTCTCCACACAAGTCAAAGGAACTGCAGGTTACTTAGATCCTGAATATCTCAAGACTTATCAGCTCACAGAGAAGAGTGATGTCTTCTCGTTTGGTGTATTGTTGGTAGAGATAATTACGGGAAGGCGCCCGATTGAAGCCAAAAGGGAACTCAAAGAACGGGTTACGACAAGATGGGTGGGTGCTCGCACCTGGCTTAGTCTTCCTTTCATGAGTCAGTTTTGTTACTTACTGAACCTTGAATATATCACCACAAAATCAATATTTCTGTCCTCTGAGGGTATTCATCTTAAACTAAAACATAGTTCATATTTCAAGGGAAAATGGTGAATCTATGCAGTAATTGCATTACAATGTCTGTGAGATTTACATGGTCGTGTTTAATTCTTGCGATTTTGTCCTATTGCACCTGATCATCTATCAGTAAATGTGCAAAAGCAAATGACACATGCATTCACATCTCCTTATTGGACTTGTAATAGATCATCTAAATGAACATGTGCCCTTATTTTGGTGGCATCTATGCCATGTTCATCCTCAAAGATTAAAACCTTCATTATTGTAACACCATTTTCGGCCTTTACAACTACAATTTTGTAAAAACTTTCAGCTATAAGCTAAATTTGGTCACCGAGTCACTAGCAATCCTTTCTGTACTCCATTCATATGCTTTTTTATACATGCGTTTCAGAGAAAAGGACAAGGAAATTAGTATACCACGTTCCAATGGAGTAGGACATGTGATAATCTAATGGACCATCATCCATCCGTTCCTTCTGACAGAAGGTGGTGATTAATAGCCACAATCCGTCATCAGGAATTAGTGATGGATGCCCTCTGGAGATTACAGTATGCGACATTGGATTATTATATATCTTAGTAGAATGTAAGCATTTCCGTGTAATAGAATACATAATCTTCTAGGAGAAGCTTACTTTCTTAGGCAATATTTGCAGGCAATGAGGAAATTCACAGAAGGTGAAGCTATTTTAACATTGGACCCAAGATTACGGCGAACTCCAGCAGCTAATTTGGCACTAGAAAAGATTCTTGAGCTTGCTTTTCAATGCTTAGCTCCAAGTAGACATTCACGACCAAGCATGAGGAGGTGTGCTGAGATCTTATGGAGCATTCGCAAGGATTACAGAGAGCTTATTGCTTCAGATCCACGTTCTTTGTCCTCTCGTTCAAAGAGTCCTTGACAGATGATGGAAAACAATAACAAAGATTGAACGTCCTGAAAGGATTACAGAAGATATCAGGCTTCTAATGTAGCTTCTGAATTTCGAAGTTTGAAGCCTCCAGATTCAGGGCCACTTGCTGTTTTCATATGGTAATTACTGAAAAGAATTTATCAATATGGTCATTATTCTTTGTTTAGTCAGTGTGCATGGATCTGCCAACTCTGAATCAGAGCTGGGAATGAGATATCAGATGAGGTATGCACGATTTTTGGATGTAAAATTGACTTCTATCTACGCAAATGTATGAAGAAACTTGAATTTGTGCCTTATGAAGTGAATGTATTAAAATATCAAGAACAGTATAGAAAGTGTGTTAGAGGTATTGCTGAGGTTCATTTGTTCATATTTGTATCAATATGTGAAAATCATTTATGGAATTTTGATAAGAACAAGATAATGTGGCTAGCAGTGGTTGGAGTGCTTGGACATGTCATACAAACAATGTATCCATGTTGATGGAGTTCTCATTTATTGCATATATTTGTATATTACTCATGTATTTGCTTATTGTTTCTTGGTAAATTTGTCATTGCAGTGTCCATAAGATTCAATGTTCAGTTGATTGCCTAAATGTGTGTGCAGGAGGGATTTCAAGAAAGCATGACTAATGACCACTCCTAATATTAACAGTATTTCTAGAGGGAAGATGGCATTGCAATTCCAAGATGAAATTATCAATTGCAGCATCTATAAGGAATGGTTCCTGTCAAATTCACATTTGATACTATCTCGTGGGAATTGTGGAATATCACTCAGTACTTGTGGAGAGAGACAGGTAACAGAGACCAAAATTTTAGGAAAAGTTTGTATCCAAATGACCAAGTTTTTTGTTCTGAAAAAGCTCGACACATCAGAGCGCAACGATGTTTACTAAGATAGACCAATAAAAAACGGCAGAAAACATGGCCAAACGAACTCAAGCAAGATCTCTAGAAACTGAATTGTTGGATGAATTGAGACCCTTCCATCAAATCTACATTATCTGCAGGGCAAAGATTTGCTGGATTGAAGTAGGAAGGATTGAAGTTCTAAGAGTGTCTTCCTTTTGTACCATGGATACCTCACCAGACTCAACTTCAGGTGGTAAACAAATTGATGCGAAAAGGAAAGAGAGATTCCAACATGGTTTCCTTATGCTTTTTTGTCATCCATGGTTGCTTTGTGAGTATGCTTAGGATTTAGTGTTGAGTATGCTTAGGATTTAGTTACTAGAGGAGGAGTGCCAGAGTCCGACATTGATGCGATGCCGGCCGCACTAAAATAGTGTGGCCCACCTAAAATTCTATGGTTTCCATGGGACCCCCAAATACTTTTGAACACATGTGAATATTTCTCTGCCCGGAAAATGTGGTTTTGAAGGTCTGAAAAGAGTCCAAATCTAAGCAATTTAGGATTTGTTGAAATAGACTGCAAAACAGGGGTTCAGATAGCACTCAAGCTAAGTAATTTGAGGGCTCCGAGTCCAATTTTCATTTATGATCTTGATATTGGAGGGCAAGAGGATAGATACCGAAATTTTTGGGTCAAGGGGGATCCAGGGATTTTAGCGGGCCCGGCCTGCCAAACATTTGTCTTTGGAGCAATTCTAATCAAATGTACTCGTCTTCATACTCCACATCCTTGGAGCAATTATAATCAAAATTACATATCTTCACAGTTCACATATTTGAAATGTCCAGATGATCACAATTTACTGCCAGTTCCTAAGAGGAAGCTCAATTCGCGTCCAAGAATATTACATATTTGAGTACCGGCAGAGGAAAACGGGTATCAGCAGATGCAAGTAATTTTTATCAACAGAGCACATTCTGCTACTCAAATTTTTAATCACTCACACGACATTAGCTCTTCGCTCGATGGCTAAATGTCCTCCCCAGAGTTTAAAAATTAGGCTGAGGCAAATCGGACTTGGCCGAGTAACTAGGTCTCGGGTCCTAGGCAAGGCAATTTTTGGGCTAGTTAGTTGTACATAATTGTTTTAAATTTTAAGTGTATTATTAACGCAGACTCATATCAGATACGTTAAAAGACCTTATTGGTTAGCTCAACCTCAAACTTTTTTTATAAAAGGGTGCAGTTGGCCTACATTTGCATCCGTAGCTGTAGAGGTAAGGTGTACCTTCAAATTTTATCATGGTATATAATTTTGATGTAAAATATTCTTAGGATTATCTCAAAATCTATTTTTATATCTAATTATAAAATTTTAAATTTCAAAAATGGTTAAAATCAAGTAGATCTATAAATAAATAAAAATCTTGAAAATGGACGGTGTAGATAGATAATATGTTGTAAAATGCACTATTTTTGAGACAAAATCTTTTTTTTCTTTGTCGTCATACATCTCGATGTTGAGAGAGATTATCAATCAAAGGGTTTTTCAACATTAAAACTACCTCTTCTGATGGTTTTTTTATGTGCATTCTTAGCTCTACATTATAAGGTTGCAACCTTATATAAATTTTTTACTTTGTAAAGAGCACCTTTTATACAAGGCACAATAACCACCACGCCCGTTCTTGTATATATAACCACTCTTTTCTTTAGAAAAAGAAAAGTGAGCTGGACTCATGTGAGTTACTCGGACTCCCCCGAATAAATCGCCTCAGCCAGGTCCCTAGTACCTTGGCCGAGTCGATTTTACAACCGCATATCAAAAACTCATCTTGGAGGTGGATTGAGGACTTAAAACATACAAAACCACCCTTTAAACTTGGATATGCAACATGAAAGAAAAGAACGTAGGATTTTGAGCCCCAATAATCCTCCATCTTGACATCTCTATCAGCATCTGTTGGTCGTGGACTGTCCATTTAAGGATCTTGATTACATGTCCCATTCTCAAAATGTCATGGTTTTTCCGTTTTATCAATTTTTTTTTTTTTGGACACAGTTAACGGAGATTTCATTTGAGAAAATGAAACGGAAGTATAATCAGGCTCATAATACCTGAGAAACTAAAAGAAAGAAAACAAACGGAAAGGAAAAGAAAAAGAAAAGGTTACAACAAAGTAACACTTTTGGCTAGCCCATCCGCTAAAGAATTTATCCCTGTTAATTAGTGAAAAGCACTTGTTTCCCCCTCACATAGGTCTAATCTCCATTTAATTAGCAGCCCACTTCGAGGATGGGAGTCTAAACACCATTTGATACCATTAGAGGAACCCCCTTCAATGATTAAATGGTTTTCCCGTCTTATCACTATAACCTCTTGACTACCATGGTGGTTTCATAAAACCGGACCCATAAGTTTTAAGAGCCCTTGAAAGCATACGAGTAGTGTGAAAATGTTTGGAAATTTCTAATTTCCCAATGCTTCGTGTTATAGAAGTACTTCTGACAAATTCTCAAGTTTGCAAGATATTGTTATATGTAATACTAATACCTTGTAAAAAGTTCTCAAGTTTGCATTATAATAGTCTTATATGTAATACTAATGTCAGATATTGTGTTCCAAAATTCCAGCATATACCGGGTTTCGACACTAGAAATCTTTAATGGATTGAAAATGATTTTGATTATTGATTAAGAAATTTGAAATTTCAAAAGTGGTGCACATTTAACAAATATATAAACACTTTGGGAGTTTTATTTGGGTGAGTAAAAGTGGTAAGGGCTTTGGGCCCCTACCTTTTGGTGAGAATGGAATCAGAGACCGACAATATTACCGCAAAAACCCCATGCCATTCTCAAAAAAGTGGCAAGTCAATAGGGACGTGGACCCCTACCCTTTGGTGAGAATGCAGTTAGAGACCTCATTATGAGGCTCGACAATACTGCTGTCAAGGCTCCAAGTCATTTAAAAAAAAAAAAAAATGACAAGTCAAAGGAGATTTATGCCCCTACCCTTTTGGTGAGAATAAAGTCTCACCATGGGCTCAACAAGTTTTTTTGTTCAAGATCCATGACCGTTAAGACGATCAATTTTGGGGTCTTCCAATTCTGGAACTGCATTTTCCAAGGTGAATCGAGACTTTAGAGAAATCAAAGGAATGGGAAACTATGTCATGAAATGGGTTAAAAAAAAGCATGTAATCGTATGTTTCGTGATGTTTTGTAAGAAACGAAGTTTCTTGATGTTGATGGATTCTTAACTCGCACTCCTTGTATGACGATTTCATTCCAAAGTCTCTCATTTGGAGCCAGACGCACTCCCCCTAATCCTTCATTTTTATTTTCAGAGAGGAGTATGATTGATACTGCCTCGCTTTTCTCTCCTTCTCCTGGGCACTACTTTGTTTGCCCTTCCCTTTGGTTTTGGATAGAGAAGCCAATTCGTGAAGCCAACGTCTAAGTAGTTTCTTTTGTCTATGCTAGAATAATACCATTGGAAATGGGGTTGAAGTCCTGGTGATAGCACTGCTGAACCTCAATTACCGATCGAGTTTTCCATTCCGTTTCTATTCCCATTGACACATTTGAACATCACTGACTATTTCTACAACGTAGAGGCTTGTATTCACCGCTTATCTACCAAAAAAAAAAAAACACGGAATAATACCATTGTTTATAACTAGTTTGTCGTCCAAGTGGAAGCACATTCTCTTTTTTTTTTTTTTGATATTACAAGAGAATAATACCAAATGGAAGTACATTGTTTTTCTTTTATTTCTTTTTGGTAAGTCAAAAGTGATAAGTCAATACGGATTTGAACCCTTGCTCTTTGGTGAGAATGGAATTAGAGATCTCACCATTAGGCTTGGCCATATTGTCGACGCACTTTGTAGGACGCTTTTTTCATGTTTTTGGCAAGACAATAATGCACATTTCCACCCTAGCCAGTTCATCTGCATATCCAAAATTTGCTTTAACCAGTGTCAAATTTAGTTGAAAATACCTTTTAACTTCAATTTCTTGTTGGCGATATTACTGGTCGTGCAGCTAAAATCCAATGCCAAAAAAGATGACTTCAGAAGCCTAAACACACCAAAACCAAAATTTGACAAAATATGCGTGCGTTGAGGTGTGCACATGCGTGACAGAGAGAGAGAGAGAGAGAGCAGACTGGCAAAACCAACATTTTAAAAAAAATATACAGTAGAATAGACTATACAACTGTGATCAATGGAGATTGAATCAGTTCCCACGTATTCAGAACTTTGCACCAGGAGAAACAGTGATGAGCAACAGAGTACAACAAAATCATAAAATCATCTAAGCCTTATCCCATTATTTGAGGCTGACTACATGATTCTTGTTCTTCCATTCTTCTCTTCAAAATTCATGATAAGATGTAAGAAAATTTTACGCTGGCTGCATACCAAAACACACCTCTTTACCCAGGCTTGGGACAGGTTAAGTTTAAGATCCTTATCCTTATTAGACCTAGCAAAATCATAAAATCAATTGCCCAAGAGTTTTAAGCAAGAGTTGCAAAGAACGAGAGTTTCTAATTAGAGTCAAATTTCCCTAGCATCCAAATAAAGATTTAAAACCATCCACATTTACCTTCTTTATTTGGAGTTTGAAGAGTTGTCTCCACAACAGGCAAAAGCAATCCATAGAAAGAGAGAAATCAGAATAATGCTAACGCCATTCACACTCAAATTTTTACCAAAATCCTAGACAATTATTCAGATCAACAAAGAATCTCCAAAACACGAAAACGACCTACTCAATTTGGTGTCTGACAGATTAAAAAACATAAAAGACAAGTCCATAAAAAATTTAAGGCACAAAAGCACAATTTAAATTGTTACAGCATTTTCCAAGACATGGAGTCTCTCACAGTGACCTTAAATAGGAACCTCCCCAGGTCTCTTTAAGGAGAAACACAACCAGAATGGTTTCTCTCACTTTTTTCTGGAGATACACTCCAAGAATAGTCTCTCTCACTTTGTTGTGGTGGAGAAATGCTCTCAGAATAGTTTCTCTCATTTTCCTTCGCAAGAGAAACGCCGCAAAAATGTTGTCCCACACTCTGTTTTGGAGGGGAGACACTAAGAGAGTTGTTTCTCTCACTATGTCTAGGAGAGATGCTAGCAGAATAGTCTCTCTCTCTATGTTTGGGAGGAGACATGCTGCGTTCTTTCTCCCTTAGCATAGGAGAGAGACTACGAGAAAAGTTTCTCGCACTAGGTTTGGAAGGAGAAATGCTGAGAGAGTGATTTCTCTCACACTGTTTTGGAGGAGAGATACTGCAAGAATAGTTTCTCTCACCATGTTGAGAAGGAGAGATACTCCGAGATTTGTATATCTCTCTTTCTTTGGGAGGAGAGATACTGTGAGATTTGTATATCTCTCTTTCTTTGGGAGGAGAGATATTGTCAGGGTTTTTTCTCTCAGTGTGTTTAGGAGAGGTGTGAGAATTGCTTCTTCTGCTATGTTTAGGAGAAGAGATGCTACGAGAAGTTGAGCGATACTTATCTTTGGGCGTAGAAGGCCTCTCACGCCTGTAGTGTTTGTCGAGGGAATGCTCTCTGTGCCTTGTTGGAGATGAAAGGTGAATATTCTCTCTGTGCCTTTCGGGAGACAGTGAGCGGATGTGGGGATGATCCCTGTGCCTTTCTGGAGTTGGTGAACGGTGGGGATGCTCTCTATCCTTTCCAGGAGTAAGTGAATGGCGGAACTGTTCTCTTTGCCTTACAGGAGACGGTGTACTGTGAGGATGATTTCTGTTCCTTTCAGGAGTCAGTGAACTGCGGGGATGCTCTCTATGCCTCTCAGGAGTTGGTGAACGGCGGGAATGCCCTCTGTGCCTCTCAAGAGTCGGTGAATGGTGAAGGTGCTCTCTGCGCCTCACTGGAGATGGTGAACGGTGAAGACGCTCTCTATGCCTTTTGGGAGATGGTGAACGGTGGGCATTGTGCCTGCTACGAGGGGAGTGTGATGGGCGGCTGCTACGCCCGCCCCTTGGAGGAGAGCGCTCTCTGTCTCTACGTGACAACAGAGGGGAAGATCGACGTCGATCCCGATATGGCGAGTAACTTGGAGATCGTCGGCGTTTCTCTGCAGATTCCAAGAACAAAATGAAATAACAAGAATCAACACTAAGGAAGAAGACACACTCTTTCTCTATGACGAAAATTCTTCACAAGAATGGATGGCTACAAGTAAAACTGCTGGGAAATTTTCAAGTGCATCCTTATGAGCACGTGACAAGGTAATCTTTTACGAATACGCTGCTCCCATTCATCTTAAAACTGTCAGAACCTCATGATCAAATCAAATCTTAGTTCTAACCACCCAGACATCGAAAAAGAGTCCAGATATATAAACATGGCCTAGTTACCAGAGAGAGACATTGAAAAGGAGCTGATCTATAAACATAGACTACTTACCAGAAACATCCCACAGTTGCTGTGACCCCAAGCAAAATGCAGACATGTAGGTGGTTTAGAAGCTCCAATTTAACAGGGAAATTTATCAAACCACACCAAAGAGATTCACTATTTAATGTTTCATCCATCCCCCTAATCCTAATTTCAGAAAACCCATCAAGGTATACATCACAAACGCTCAAATATTGATGGAGGTGTAAACTCTCAATATTGCCCCTGCATCGAAACTAAGTGATTTTGAGAAAAATTACTTTGGTTACCGAAACAACGTTTCATCTGAAAATTTCATTAGATTTTGGCAATGTCATACCCAGCCTTAAAACACTCTCCCTCTCTCTAAGAGAACTGGGGGGCTCCTCATGATGAAGTCTCTTAGCAATGGCTGGGTATGACATTGCCAAAGTCTCTTAGCCAATGCTGGGAAATCAATGCAAAACAAGACCCACCCATGAGCTGCCAGTAACTTATGCCGAAACAGGTTACAGGCCCCCTATAAACAGGTTCACCTCTCTCTCTCTCTCTCTCTCTCTCTCTGTGGCTTAACATAAATGTGTCTGTGGCTTAAAGTAAACGTGTGTCTGGCTTAAAAGTAATTTATAAGCCATCATGACAAGAATCTTGATGGGCATTTTGGAAGTACAACAAAAAAAATAAGTGAAATGTACATAGTGGAACTCCAGGGTTTAGCTTGATAAATTATCTAATGCATCTTGAAGTATCAACATTTGAGTGGGAACCATAGGTTGCAGGTTGGACTATGACTCTTTACCACGTGTGTGAGCAAAAGGGTGTGAGAGAGAGGTCTCTTGGGAATGACAAAGTATAACATATGGTGTACGGTACAGCATAGGGGCGTCTATTGTCCATTACCAATAGATCGTGAAGATTAATTACACCTAAATGAATGTCCACAACCAAATGTACATTTAATCTTCAGTGCGCATCATTGGGAGATGACCACGGACAGAAATGTGATGTGCCACATACCGTACACCACTTTTGTGTACTATATCCATACTCTCTTTCTGAAGTCCTTTTTCCATAACCCTTGCCCAATTTCATATATTTTACATGCAAGCCCAAGTTTATTTTTAGACAAGCTCCATATCTGGAAAACATTTCACCTTATTTGTAAAGTATTTCATCGAAGATCCTCTATTTTTCTCCACTTTCATTCAAGATTATTTTTTTCTTTCTTTTTAATCTTTAACAACATTTTTTTTCAGTCTTTCTATATTCTCAAATACCAGGTCAACATCTTTTTCTTGGATGGTTCACAAGAAAGGGAACTTGCTAGAACAAATATGGAAGAGGTCAGGTCACATACCTCTGCCTGTTCTCCTGCCAAGATATTCTCCTGGGGTTGGTTGCCTACCTTTTCTTCTCTTCGCCTGAAAATTTGATGCAAAAACTCAATATCAGGAAACAGCAACCAATACAAATACAATTCATGAATAAATCACAATAAGGAACGTGAGATACAAAAGAGAATACTAATAACACCGTTCAGAAAGCAATAAGAATGAACAAAAAAAATGATCCATAGGTATAATTTAATATTTTTATAATGTTGCTTCAGTATAATACCCTTATATCAAAAACCGAAAAAAAAAAATATCGAAAGGATTACAGGGCATACAACCACCCCCTGTAAAATAGTCGAAATTCTCGAATTCGAACGATGTGTTTAGAGGTCGGTGTGTTTTGATTTGAGAGGTCGATGCAGAGTTCGAACAGTGTTAAGAGCTTGGGTTGTGAGTTCGCAGAAGCTACACACACCCGCCCTGCTGCCAAAAAGTTATCAGGCAACATTTCTGAAGAAGATGAGCAGAGCTTTCGACAATTCCCATAAACCATTTCGCTCAATTTCACAGCACTACTCTTTACTGTGCTAAAAGAGGGTAACGGTACATCTACCTTCTCCACTGCTATGACACGGCCTTCAAGCACTGAACGGTTCAGGTACTTAATGCAGCGATCTGCATCTTCAATTGTTTCCATAGTCACAAACCCAAACCCACGGGATTCTCTGGTGCGAGGATCGACAACCAGATGGCATTCCAAGACCTGCAACCGAAGAAAAAAAAAACAAAAACTTTAATCAACACCATTTTATAGAGGATTAGGGGAAAACCGAAAAAGGTTTATGAACCACATTTAGAGATCAATTTCTCTTTATGAGCATTGAAGTTCCATTTAATAATATTAGTTCATATTACAAGATATTCCCTGTAACTATCGAACCTCAAATGCAAATGAAGGTGTTCACTAGTAAAGTAGACTCAGGTGAATATCAATATCCATGATGCAAGAAATTTATCAAGAGGACCTAAGAACAATAGATAATGGGTGTGTGTATAAGGGCAAGGCTCTAAACAATCAAAGTAAAGTGCACTTTCAAATAGTGTCGAGAAATGTGGTTTCAGTACTGGAAATCTTTGTGCTAGCCTTAAAATATATTTTCATCTCTCATTATAAAATTTAAAGCTTCAAAAATAGTGTAGATCAAGGAGCTCTATGAAAACTTGAAATCTTGAAAATTGAGGGTCCAAAAATACATTACAAGATGCACTATTTCCAAAACTTCAAATCCATCTATTTCTTATGTCCATGCATCTTGAGGTCGAGATGATCAATTTGAGGATATTTGGGCATCAAAACAACCTCTTCTAGTGAAATTTTTGAGGTGCGCCCTAATTTGATTGTTTAGAGCCTCGCACTTATATAAACTTTTTCCATAGATAATTGTTTTCAAGTAAATTATCAAGATGTTTGTTTCAATTTTCCTTGGTCAAAAAAAAATGTTTGCTTCAATTTTTTCTTTTACTTTGCTCTGGTTATCCACTAGGGCATCATATCAAGAATCAAATGTTGAGTTAAGGTAGCACAATTATACCAAGAGCCCCCCTCCCAAGGTTCACCTATTATAGGCCACTCAATCAGCTGTGATATGAATGACCCAGAGCATCCTAGAATATAATAAAATATAGAAACTACTCTCTCTCTCTCTCTCTCTCTCTCTCATGTGTGTGTGCACATGCATGCCCATGTGCATGCATGTGTGTGCTGTGAAAAGAATTATTAGCCTTAACTCAAACCATTGACCTCTAATACTACATGTGAAACCACATAATCAGGATCCATCACCCGTCAAATCTGAGCTTATGTGGCCAGACCACCTTTTTTTCTGGTTGAATAGGTGAATAACTACTAACGATAATTATCAAACATGGTCTTCTTCAAAAAAAAAAATAACAAACATCAACCAAGACTTAAGACTTCAAGAAATCCTGCAATCAAATGACCGTAAAGCACTAATTCATAAACTCAATCCATTCCTAGAGTCTAGACTCAAAGAGGTTAAGCTATTCTAAAAAATGCAAGCATATATATATGATACCCCATGTCAAACATGTCACGATGTCTCTTTCTTAAGGTCCAATAAAATGTCTAAAGCCCCAAAAAACTGATGATTCCAAAGTAGCATACCTTCCCTTCACTTTGAAAATGCCTCTCAAGTTCTCTTGTAGTAACTCGTGTAGATAAGCCAGTAATATACAAGTTATTTCCAGGATTTTGTGCATCATCAGGATCATAGCTCCTGCCAACCATTTCAGTGTATGTGCACATAACATCAAGAAAAGAAATACATCAATTGCAATACTCATAAGGCATTAGCATCAAATAAAAAGGAAACGATGAACATCAGATTTAAAGTGAAAAAATTTCAAATATCTCAAGTTAAAAAATAGACAAATTATTTCATAAATTTATTAAGGGTAAGATAAGGAATATAAACTTAACACACGCAGAATACATACCTAGACCGACCCCTTGATCTTGATCTCGACCTTGACCTTGAATCTGGTCTCCTACCTCTGTGGAAATCAGGAAGGGCAGAAGATTGGAAATAATGGCCATTCAATTTTAAATTTCAATCACAGTTTCAAAAAAAAAAAAATTTCAATCATTGCAGGCAGAAGGAATAAAATAAAAGGACAAAACTTTTCTTAAATAAGGATAGCTCACCTTCCTCCTCTTGAGTATGACATCTACCACCAAACCAAACGTAAAGAAATTATTGACCCCTCAAAAGATTAGAATCCTTAAATTCCATAAGAAACATAGATTTTATATATAATCCCATGACATATAGATTGACCAATGGATTTCCACAGGTTACAGACCAAATCTCAGTATTAGATAAAGGAAAAGAACCACATAAATAAAGTAGTACAAACATGTACATCTATTTGAAAAGCTCAGTTCAAATGATTATATTAGCTGTGAATAAAAAAAATAATCTAGAAAGAGAACTGTTAAAGATCTATTTATTATTGAATGAAAAAAATGGAAACAATGAATAGATATTTAAAAAAGGATAATGAATAAAGCAACTTAATAAGCAGCACAATTATCCTAGTATAAGTTTGAGAATAAATAAAGGTACTTTTATCAATAAACCCATGCATTTGAGAAATAAAAGTAATATGTTTCAACATGCAGTGTACTAAGGGAATGACAATCTAGAGGCCAATGCATTACATATGTGAACAATCCAGTCAGATAGTCCAAGTTATTTTTGTTTTTTCCCAATAAGACGCCAGTTTCATAGTTAAACTCAAGATTTTAAATGGAGGAAAATCCCACTTCTTTTTTTAACGATTCAAAGTTTCCTTACAGCAAAGAAAAACAGATATAAGCGATGGAAATTGCTTAAATTTTAGAAGTTCCTCTAATGAACGGAACATTGTCCAATTAAATGGGACAATAATCATGCGTGCTCAGAGTCCTAACTAGGAGAAACTCCTTTAAAACATAAATAGAAAAATAAAGCTTTCAGAACAAATCATAAGTTGCACTGGTCGATTTGAAACTAAACAATACCAACAAACCTAGCTTCTCATTTTTGGAATGATCATGAGAACTTAAGAAATTTCATCTGGAATGCCAAATGAAAAAACTCGAATAGAAGAACTTATTCAGAGACAAAAGAACTATTCAAGAAATGAGCGACTGAAAAATATCCTTATTATAAGATTGTTTCTGAAACCGAACAAACATGTTAATTCTGAAAAGTCTTTCCTATGAAATTACCATCAAACAAGAGAAATAATAATAATCTTAACTATGAAAATTAACAGAAAAATTAAAGAGTCACACATAAATTTGGCACAGGCATACAAATATAGAAGCCAAGACAAGTGGAATCAAGAGAATCCAATCAAACACGTCACAAATGAAACCCTAGAATTCATTCCAGACATTCTCAGGGAAAACACAAAAATCCTCCAAATGCAAAGCAATAAAGGAACAAATCAATAAAAAGCAACAACTTTCTACAAAATTCGTCTAAATAAAAGAAAAAAGCTTCACAGGTCATCATAAAACAACCAGAGATTAAGCTGCCATTACCGGATTCATCAAAAAAGGGCCCTTCAATAAAATTGAAAAGGAAAAGAAACAGATTCAACAAATAAAAAAAAAAAAAGAAGAGAGAAGGAAAAGGGAAGCTCACCGTGATCGATTAATGGATTGATGGAGAGATTAATTCCCAGTAATTGATGCTAATTCAAAAGTAAATCAGAGAAAATTGCATTTATAAGTATGTATTCGATCTTATTTGCTACTCTATTTATACAACCACAGAGAAGAGCCGGACTCGAAAGCTGGTTCAGTTCGGTTTAATTAGGCATCGGGCCCTAGGTTTATTTTCTGTTCAAATCCACGAAATTTCGTTGCGAAATTTCGGAACGGATCTCATTTTACCGTTGTAAAACCAGGGCAGGTTGCTGGAAGCTAAAGACAAAACAGGTTTGGGCCGAAATTTGCACGAATATCTCCTGAATTCTTCGGCCTAAGTTTCGCCCAACGTTTCTTAGGACTTTGATGAAGTTTGAATGAATTTCAGTAGGTGGGAATTCATTGTCCCAAATGAATTCGCAATTATCTATACGAAAAAGTTTACGCAAGTTGCAACCTTAGAAATGTAGAATTAAAGGTGTACCTAAAAAATCTGTTGGAAAATGTTATTTTAATATTGAAAAACCTTTTATTTGATCATCTCGATATTGGAAAATATTATTTTAATGTTAAAAAACCCTCTATTTGATCTCTCGACATTGAGATGTGTGAATATGAAACAAAAAAAAAGATTTTGAGTCTCAACTATAGTGCATCTTGCAACACATTCTCTAAACCGTCTATTTTCAAGATTTCATATGTTTTATAGATCTACTTGATTTTTAACTATTTTTGAAGTTTAAAACTTTTATAGTTAGCTATGAAAATAGATTTTTAAACAATCCTAAAAAAAATTTACATCAAAATTACTTATTATGATAAAATTTGAAAAGGCGCCTTAATTGAATTGTTTAAAACTTGCAGCCTTGTAGAAACCACACCCTACTATTTATACTACATTATTCAGCCTACATTATTCAGCCTAACTTAAAAGGAAGGTTAGGGTAAAGTATGAATAAGGGACTTTATTATCGATACTATCCATAATACATTATAAAGCAGCATTTAATGGACAGTAAAGTAAATATAAAGGGACCCTTTGATAATAGAAAAGGTAGGGTAAGGAGTCTTAGCATTAGGTTATAGCACCTAAAGACTAGGCTATAAAAATGTTATACTATATTATTAAGTCGAACTTAAGGGGTGCGCATGTATAGTAAGAATAAAGGGGGACCATGTGATAATAGAAAGACAGGAGAGGGAGTTCTAGCATTGGGTTATAGCACCGAAGGACAAAGATATATAAATATTAAAAAAAAAAATCAAATTTTATGGATAATCCCCTAATTATAACATAAAGTAACAAAGGATAAGATCTTCATTTTTTTAAAAGAAATCGATGTGATGCGCACTTACCTACAAGAAAAGGATTCGAGATCTATGCTTTCCCTACTATCCAGCCATCCAATTTTGATCAAGAGCTACTCACCGTTTGATATTAGATCCGACATCTCAAAGTATTTTATTTTTAGTTTTTTATACAAATTGTATGAATATGAAATTTTATACGTGCCATCTTCTCATTGGGGCGTATTTATAAAAAATATTAAAAATAATTTTCGATAAAATATAATGACTAAAATACCCCTTGAATATTTTCAAAGGCATTTTGGTTATTTTATTTTATTGGAAATAGTTTTTTATATTTTTCCCTAGTACGAGTTTAATAGAAGATAGGACGTCCAAATTTTGGTGTCAAAATAGCTTATAGAAAAAAAATTTAAAATAAAATAGTGTAGAGACATGACATTGTGATTGGGGCAATCTTAACCCTCCATTCAGAATGGACGGTTAGATAAGGGGAAGTATATAAGTTTTATGCTGTAGCGGAAGCATAAAAAGCTTGCCAACATTATACATCTTCTATATATAAAAACATCACTTGGTTTGGCAACAACGTGGCACTCATCATAAGATGTTTGGTACCTTGGTTCGACAAAACAATCACCAAATTTTGCCAATTTTCAAACGGGTTGTGAAGCGAAATTTGTAAAGGTAATGTTTCTTGGAATATCGTTGGAGTTGGACCGCATTTCTACATATGCAGTCTAGGAAGTGAAAAGCATCCATCTAAAAGATAGATACAAATAGGTGGTCCATCTAAAAACGATAGAAACTAATGATGGAAGTGTTTTCATCTCAAAAATAGATTTATTAAGAGGCTTGTATTTCTAAATATGAGGGCTTGCCCGCATAGAAACCAGATTTATTTCCCCTGTATATCGGATTTATTTCCCCATTTATATCTCTTTTCCAGTACGGCGGCCGTTGCCTCTTTTTGAGATTTTTAACATGAGATGGTAACAATCTCCATATGTTCAACAGGGAGGAAGATTCATGGAGGGATATCCTATGAATGAGAATCGTGGAGTATGTAGGAGGTTTTAAAAATTTTGGAGTTTATTTCTAATAACCTAAAAATAAAGAGATATTTTTTATAATTTTCCAAAAAAAATTATATTATTTGTTTCTCTATTCATTTTTGGATTCCTATCTAATGATCCAGAACGTAATCTTGGGCGTTTTTCACTTTCGTCTCCGTGATTTCTAATTTAGAATAAAATATTTCTAATTTAAAATAGAGTGGTGTGTTGTGATTGATTTTGAAAGTTACTCAATGTTGACCCTCCATGGATTTGCCTATATAAGTGGTGGCTAACACTCAAACCCAGAGTTAGTTGGTTCTCCCCGAAATACGTTGAGGCACAGCAGTTGACTGGACATCTAAGGGTATCTCATATCTTGATATAAATAAGCAGGTCTTATTGTATGGGCCCAAAACCTAAATCATCGACATATACGATGCTTCATCTATCAATTAGATCTTTTATCCATAAAAATCAGCATATAGGTCATACCCATTTCTTCATGTACCAACTCTTATGAAGTCTCTTTCTTTGTTATAGCTGATAAAAACTATTCCTTCACACGAAATATGTGTAGAAGGCCTTTTTGTTTTCTTTTGTTTATTTGTCCTTCTAGTATCTACTTGAGGATTTTATATTTCTTTCTTCTTTACTTTCTATTATTTTATTTTTGTTATTCTTTATTATTATTATTCTATTCTTTCTATTCTATAGTAGAGATATTCGCACATAATGACAAATCACGGCCATATTATTAGAAGCTTGTGATAAGAAGCGATTTCGGTCTGGTACCCAAACATAATATTCAAAAGCCTTTGCATGTTCTCCACTGCTTGTGTGGATAAGTCTTATATTATAGATTATATAACTTCGATCATAGGGATCAATTTTTGAGTAATAATTAGCCGAGGGAGCAGTATACCCTATTGAGCATAATATCATCATGGAGCATTGGTTGTCTATATAACATGATGGAGCATAGGCCCGATTTGTCATCCTTGATTCTTGAGTGGATACATTCTTGTGCAACTAAAATACTATCCATAATTTATCTATCGTTCAAGAATGCTGATTGTAACCTTTAATAACTGCTAAAATCTTTGCTATGATTTTATATAGACTACTAATGCTCCAGGTGGGTTGAAATGTAAACAAGTGTACACTGGAGTATAATATCATCATGGGTTGTCTATGTAAACAAGTGTACCAATGGAGCATAATATCATCATGGGTTGAAATGTAATTTCACTGTAGGCCTGAAATCTCTATACAATATTCCATCAAAAAATGAATGATTACCATTCGTGATTTCTACTTGTCCTAACCTCCAAGATTACAAAATTCCGAGAAGTTCCTAATCTTATGGCAATTTTGGTACAAGGTGGATGCCAAACCCCCACCATACAAGACTGTCAATATGGTTTGCTCACCATTCTCCACTTACAACCCTGACCTTAGTTTATTTGAGAAAGAGAGAGTAATAAGCAAATCCTTCCAAAAACCAAACAACCAGCATTCTTGATCATCTACACAGGCATTCCTTAAGTGGTTTTCCCGAGGTCAAATGCTACAACAAGCATCTTACTGTGACAAATCAATCAATCAGGCTCATAACAGGATAATATAAACCTCCCATACAATTCTCTAAGCTCCTGATGAATCTCATTCTTTGATTCATACCTCTCGCACCCTGTCAAGAACCAGTGCGCACTATTAACCTGAACACACGCTACAACTAGCCGCCTCCTCCACACCCCTATACTTCATCAACATTTTCATCTCCCCAGCTTCTTGACAAATCATCTCCCCAACAAATCAATCCATCAAGCTCGATAATATAAACCTCCCCTACAATTCTCTAAGCTCCTGATGAATCTCATTCTTTGATTCATACCTCTTGCACCCTGTCAAGAACCAGTGCGCACAATTAACCTGAACACATGCTGCAACTAGCCTCCTCGTCCACACCCCTATCCTTCATCAACTTTTTCATCTCCCCAACTTCTTTCCACATGCCTAAATCCTTATATATATCCAACAACAACACATAAGAACTAGAAGTATTGGGTTCCATGCTAAATAGCCTCTCTGCAATTCTCTGGCCTAGCTCAACATTGACATGAGCCCTACAAGCCTTGAGTAAAGCCCCAAAAACCAAAGACCCAGGCTCAAAAGGCATGCTCTCTATGAACTCTTCAGCCTCATATAGCTGCCCTGCCTGCCCTAGAAGGCCAACTATGCTCGCATAGTGACATTCTTGAGGCATTATTCCATGTTCCCTATGCATGGAATCAAAGTAGTAGTATGCTTCTTCAATCAAGCCTACATGACCACAAGCACATAGTAACCCTGCAAAAGTGGTTTGGTCAGGCTTAACCCCTTCAAGTCTCATCTCTTCAAAGGCTCGAACTGCCTGTCTGCCTAAAGCATGTTGGCCACATCCAGTTAAGACAGAGTTCCACATGGCTAGGTCGTGCTCAGGTGCCTCGTCAAAGACCTGAAAGGCTTCAATTATGCTACCACACTTGAAATACATGTTTATTAGGGCAGTAGAAACATAGATATCATTGTCAAACCAAAGTTTTAGGGCAAGGCCATGAATTTGTTTACCAAGCTCCATTGCACCTAAGCCAGCACAATTGGTTAGAATGCTTGAAAAAGTAAATGGGTTAGGTTTTAAACCGTCTCTCAACAAACAGGTAAACAACTCTTGGGCTTCACATGCATGCCCAGCTAGCACATATGCACAGATCATGGTGGTCCATGAAACGATATCATGATTTGGCATGGTTTCAAAAGCACTCCTGGCGTCTTCCAACATCTGGTTCTGAGATAGCCCAGATATCAAAGAATTCCATGAAATGTTATCTTTCTCCCTCATCAAGCTAAACACTTGCACTGCATCATCTATGTTCTTGCACCTAGAATACATATCAATCAGGGCATGTGAGAGAAAGCGATTCGAGAAAGAACCAATTTTGATAGAGAGAGTGTGTATCTGTTTCCCCAATTGCAATGCCCCACTACTGGCACAGGTGTTAATGGCGCTGGTGCAAGCCGGATTTATTGGTACCATGCCTGTTCGAAGCATTTCTGAGAAGAGTTGTAGAGCTTTCTTATACAGCCCATTCTGTGAGTACCCTGATACCATTGAAGCCCATGAAACTGAATTTCTCTTCGGCATCTTATTGAACATCTCTTCTGCCTGTTCGACCAATCCATTTTGAGCATAACCAGTTACCATCGCATTCCAAGCAACCACATCTGGCTTCAAGATCTCATCAAAAATAGCCCTTGCTTCGAAAATTCTTCCATTTTGTGCAAAACCCACCATCATGGCAGTTTGAGTTCCAACCGTTTGTCCAGGAGTGCTTCGATAAATTTCACAAGCATATTCTAACTTCCCATTCTCCGCATAACATGTGATCATTGTTGCCCAGGTAAACTCATTTTTTATAGGCATTCCATTGTAGAACAACACTGCAGCTTCCAATTCTCCCAATTTTGCATAAGTATTCAAGATTGAGGTACACACTATCACATCTTGATCAAAACCAGCCTTAGTCACCATACCCTGCAAAAGCTGGACTGGATCGATTCGAGCCAAACCAGAGGCCACTGTTACTCCAACTACAAAACCCGGCTGGTCTAGCACTGCCCCATCTCTCCTCATTCTCAGAAACAAAATCCAACCTTCTATGTAATCTTCAGCCTCTGCATACCCTGAAATTAATGAAGTCCATGTAACCAAATTCCTTTCCCCCATCAACTCAAACAATTCTCTCGCTTCTCTCATAAGACCCATTCGGCAATAACCACTGATCATGGCATTCCATGATGCCACATTTTTCTCAGGCATTTCATCAAACAGCTTGCGTGCATTCTGTAAATTTGAATTCTTGACATAGCCAGTGAGCATAGAGTTCCATGAGATGATGTTCTTCTCTGGCATGGCATCGAACACTTGTCGAGCCTCTTGAACTCTTCCTATTTGAGCGTAACTGGTTAAGAGAGAGGTCCATGTCCGAACGTTGTTGAGAGAGAGTGATTCTAAGACACAGCGAGCTTCGTCGAGTTTGTGGGCTCGAATGAGAGCCATGACTCTGGAGTTGCAGGCACTCCGAGACTCGCCATTGGGCCAATGGCTGCGACAAGAGAGAGGGTGGCTGGAGTGAAAGAAAGCACGGTTGGGATGAGAGAGAGAGGAGTTTGGGCGAGAGGGAGGAGAAATGCATGGTTTGAGGCGGGCAAGGCGAAGGATCATTGGACATGACGATGATACATCTCAGGGCGACCATTAATGACGGCTGGATTCTTCACCTGTTTCTATAAGAGTCTAGAGCTCTGGCGTGTGTAGAGAGAGAGAGAGAGAGACCTCTGGCGTGTAGAGAGAATGACATAGCTAGAATTCTGGCATATCATAAAAACAAAAAAACAAGGCTATTTAGCATGGAGGCCAATAACATGTGCATATCCTCAATACGTACTGCATAAAAAGAATTGCAATAAAAAAGAAACCACAAAAATCATGTGAGAATTCAAATGTCATATTAACAACACCCATATTACTCACAATTTCATATATCACACATCCTAAAGATTTTTCTGGCAGAGAGAACTTTGTTTATGGAAATGTACAAACTATTATTTATTTATTTATGGAAATATACAAACTATGCCTCTCTCCATACAAACCATCCCTCTCTCTATACAACCTACTATCATAGAATATATAAACCAACCTCTCTACTCTTCTTTCAGCTGGATTATGTAATCTACTGAAGTAAAATGATTACGTTCTTTCAAAGTATAAATAAAAAAGAGTTAAATCAAACCAGTTTGTAACTAAGATTTTATCATTAAGATTCAATGTAAAATGTTTCTATTTAAGAAATTCACATTGCATAATTATCATAACTTACTGCTCATATCCCAAGTTCTCACAATGTCATAATCATAAAAAGATTTAGGCCCTTTCCACAAACTTTGATTCACAGAGCGATGAAAGAATAATAGAGCACAAAATTACCTTAGAACATAAAATAAACGATGCAATCTTTATAAGGCCTAGGCTTTATGAAAAGAAAGTAAAGCTTCATCTCGAAACCTCAACCGAAAAGCACCTTGGGTATCAGAATTTCTACAAAGGCTCTAAAATCAATTTACACCACTGGACTATGATATTTGAAGCTCAAAAATGTTTGAAGCTCAAAAATGGTACAGATCTTGCGGATTCATGAACACTTGAAAATGACGGTCTAGATAATATGTTAAAATATACATATTTTTAAGGCTTGAAATCCTAATGGTTTCACAACCATCATCGTCAAGATGGAGATGATAGATTTGAAGGTTTTTTTATGCCAGAACTACAATTTTTGGAATGATTTCATGTGATGCTTTGGTTTTTCCCATAAGACCTAGGCCTTTTCTAACCTTTTTCCTAAAATAAATAACCATTGCATCCCATATTCAAAAACCAACCAGAGTGAAAAGCACAAGATGTATTTGCAAAGAGGTACCATCAGGGCACCAGAGTGAAAAACACAAGTTTGTGGGTTGCTTAGTTTTTGGGCGGAACCCGTCTGTGAGTATCCTGCTCCCCTCTCCTCTCACATTCTGTACTCACATTCTGTTCAATACAGTCAACATATTCAAAAAAAAAAATCCATGGTCATTCATATTAAACAAAGAAACTACTGACACAAATGAAATTTAATCAAAGCAAATATTTCTAAAAATAAACCAGCAATATTAATCTTTCAATATATTGTCTATGTCATTATATTAACAAAAAAAAAAGAGCTTTGAGCTTGATGAAGAGCATATGTATCTAAATAGATGAACATTATAACAATGAGACTAAAGCAAAGACAACCCCGGAAGCAAAATGTGTCACAATCTTATTGCTCCTATGTGTCAAGAAGTTGAACATCTATGTTTTCACCAGGGGCAACCCCGGGGAGAAAGAACTTTCTCAGTCACTGTAAACATCATAGGGTAAATTGTAGATTTTAATCAACAAAATCACTCAGGAAAGTAAAAATTCATTCCAAACTATGAAGAAGATGATGTGGTATCTATTTAACAACCCAACAATGGAAGCACCCATACTCTCAAATGCCTAACAACAGAAATCTATTCTCTCATATACTCAATATGAAAACTCTATTTCCTAACATATCCAACAATGAAAAAGTCATTCCGCTACAAATCCAACAATCAGACATTCATTCTCTTAAATACCCAGCATTCAAAGCATTCATTCCCTCATATACCCAACAGTGAACCATTTAGAAATGAACATCAACCCAAAAATACTGAAATTTTAGTACAACAAGAACATCTCTCTCTCTCTCTCTCT